TCCAATCTGCCTCCACCATCTTCCTGGGCAATCCATTCTACATTGTATTCACCTTTTGTAGAATTTGTGACTGCATTAAGCATGATTAAGGTTCACTTTATTCATTACCCTTTAGGATCTTGATCTCTTCAAGCGCTTCTGGTGAGGTAGATTGGGTTGAGGTAGAAGCTGGTGAGGTCGGTGATGGGAGGGGGAGGGTTGTTAGAACTTTATCTTCTCAAACCTTGTGCTTGTGGCTGGTCACCTCCCACGGGCACTGTGCTTGGTTGGGTGGAGCCCACAACAGGGGACTTTTTGAGTGCTTTGTGAAAGAAATTAGCTCAATCAGCATATTTTCTTGTTTCCTAAGAACAAATGGAATTCTCTAACAGTTTATGATTGCTCACCTAAAAAATGTGCATACCCGTGGATACCCACTGAAACAAAGTTTGTTTGGTGCTGGGTGGAGATAGATACAATGCTTGGCACATTTAACCAATACAGTACTTGCCACTTTGCCACTTCCTAGATTTCCTGAGCCTTAAACTGTGTTTACGTTGCTGAGAGAAGCAGGAAGCCAGGTTTTATGCTTCTCAATTCACGTCACATCAGTGCTCTGAGGCGTTCCCATGTGCAGGGCGCTAAATAAATGCCAGTGTTGTTGTTCATGCTCAATGTTTAACTTACTATTTTGGCCACTAAAATTGGGTGTTAGTTTTCATGTATTGTGTGAATGCAAGCATCTCTATCACAATATTAAAAGTGTCAGAGCTTTCAGTAGAGTGCAATTTGTACTCACAGTGAATGTTTAATGTTGAGGGGGCATAGGGGATGAAATGTTTTCACACAGAGGATTATCAAAATATTGAATATTTTGCCGCATTTGGGTGTTCAAGCCTGAGACCATAGCAATGTTTAAAAGGGAACTGGATAAACATTTGAAAGGGAAGAATACAAAAGGGTATGGGGAAAGAGCGGGGAATTGGGATTAAATTAGTTTGTTCCTGTTGTGGAGCTGATTTAGGCCTCCTCCTATGCTATAAATTTCTATGAAATTAGCCAGTTCCTTGAAGTGGTGTCAATAATGGGCTGAAGGGTAAATTTCACTCTATCTACTTCCACGTATATTGTACTTTTTCATTTTATACTGCACATTTTTAAGCATCCTTACATTTGATATAGCGTCTTATCACATTGTCTAGAGTCTCACAAAGCGCTTCACTGGATTTATTGTAAAGAGAATTGACTGTGTATTTTGTGGGTGAAACCCAGCAACCAGTTGTGAATAGCAGTGTCCCACAAAGATTCATGGAGTGAATGACCAATTTTATTTGGGGGATTGTTGGCCAGGGCACCAGGAGAAACTCCCTTAACTGCCATGGGATCTTTAATGTCCACCTGAACAGGCAGACAGGAGGTTAATGTTTGTCTGCCTGTTCAGGTGGACGTTAAAGATCCCATGGCAGTTAATGTTTTGGGGGGTTAATGCTGTGTGTGTTTTTTAGAATTGATGCTTCATTTTTTTCCATTAAAGAAGCAGTGGAAATGCAGCTCTGGTCAATGTGACTAAGCTTGGCTGTTCTTGAGCTGAGTAGGAATGGTTAGCATTATCCTTCTTGATATGGATGCTGATGTCATGCTGTAGTTAAAGTTGGTAGCTTGGCGAAAACCAGAGCATGTATGTCTCAGCGTGTTATAATTACTGGAGCTTTGTTTCTGAGAGAACGTATGAAGATTTGTGGAGTCCTGTAGCTCAGTGGTTAGAGCACTCGCTTTGCAAGCGAGACACCTGAGTTCAATTCCAGGCAGAGGGCGAAACCTTGGGCAAGTTTCCTTACTCCACACAGAGCCTAATAATAATCCCTCCAAAAAACAAAAAAAAACAATAATAAAAATTGGTCATTTTCAATCCATGACTGTTTGTGGGACATTGCTGTGCGCAATTGGCTGCCGCGTTCGCCCACAAATATATACAGTCAATTCACTTTACAGTATATTCTGTGAAGCGCTTTGGGACCTCCTCCTGACGTGAAAAGCTCTATATCAAAATGCAAGGATTATTATTATTATTATAGGATAGTGTAACGTGCACAGAGCCTGTGCACTCTCATAACTGTTCCCATTGCCACTGGCGCCTTATCACTCCAGCCAGGTGCGCTGTACAAAACCACAGGGGCAATATGGTGCACCATTAAACACATCCATTATTTACCTCTTTATCTGATTAACTTTTTAAAGTATGGTCGGTATAAACGGGGAAGATTGTGTGACATAACTTGTATCTCACTCGTGAAGCTAACCTGCTCCCAGGCTCTTTTGATCAGAACCTTGTGGAACTTCTGACTGTAACATACTTCATTTGGGAAGGGAGATATTACAAACTGTTCTGTTGAAAATCTGACTCACATTCTCCCCTTGTTGTTTTTAAGTAGGGGTAATTTATAGCCTGCAGAACTCAGTGTAACACTGGAACCACAGAAAGCACTTGGATAGAGGACTAGCATTTAGGAAGGTTTGAGTGAGACAACATATGCTTTTGATCAAGACATCATGTTTTCACACCTGTTTTAGTCTCCCTCCCTCCCTCCCTCCCTCCAATTGTTCTGTAGTTTAAGGCTTTGTAACTGTTTACAACCAGATTTTTCTGTGGGGATGCAGGTTCTGTGCTCTGTACACCACTGTACTATACTCTGCTGTCCTGGTTTGGTGGGCTCTGGCCTGCTACACGTCCTCTGTCCTATTCACCCCACCATCAGCAGTCAGGCCTTCAGCCTTTCTACAGCCACCCTCTGGAACTCCATTCCACAGTCCTTTCATCTTGCTCTCTCCCTTACCTCCTTCAAGTCCCATCTCAAGACCCTCCTCTTTGACCATGCCTTTGCTTCCTACCCCTACCCTCCCTGCCCTCCACCACTCCTGATGCTAACCACCAGCTCGGGTCTGGGTGCCACGGTTCCGGACTGGCTCAGTGTGGTGAAGTGTGTATCCATGGAGGTGATGCTGCCAGTGCCTGAGGTGTGGAGGCGCTAACATGCACCAATCAGGAGGGCCTGTGTTCTATGCTTTTGAACCTTGTAAAGAACTACTCTCCTGGGGGAGGGGCGAAGTTAAGTGGGGTCTCGTTGGAGCTGAACTGGCTCCAAGGTGACATGCCTGGCATTGGAATATCAGAATTGAGTCAGCCATCTGTGCTGGTCTCTAGTCCGGTTCCTGAACCAGACATATCTGTAGTATTCCAGGGCAGTGCTGATGACAGCACAGCCCAGCCTGGCTCACCGGCAGGGCCTGGAAGGGCAGAACAGTCACTGATGGCAGGGAGTCATCCCACTCAACTCCTTTTAACCCTGAAAGCCAAATCCCTAGCGGTTAGAGTGATTCTAGCTGGTCAAGTAGCAGGAAAGCTTGCTGGACAGCAATATCAATGGCAAGCTATGCAGTTTTAGCTGGTTAGACTCCAGCAGTTACGCCAACCCACACTCTGCGGTCCCCAAGCCTTGGCTCTTGCCAACCTGTGCCTAATACTTTCCAGAATTAGGTAAACGGGTTGTGTCCCTCCAGGGAGAGAGTTCGCATTCCATTCCAACAATCTATCTCTGGGATTTCCATGTGTAGGTGGGATACATGAAAATCTCAGCTTGGTTTAGATACTCTTAAGCATGGTGATGGGTTTCCACATGTGTCAGACACCCAGCTGACCCCAAATTAATGGGGAGGGTATGGATAGGTGATTTCTGCAGTGAGAGCACACGATTCATAACAAAACCCTAGTTGGTTGTTGAAAGCAGAGAAAGATTCAGAGGACCTAATGGGCATCAGATTTCTCACGGTCTGATGTGAGCTGCTGCAGACCTGGTTCAGCAAATTATGTGAATAAATTTACATTTCAGCTAAAGTACACAAGCACATAGTGACACAGTCTCGGGCAGAGAAAAGGGGAGAGAGGAAGAGTGCTGGAATATTCTGTGCCTTTGCATTTCAGAGAAATGTGTTGCTTCAATAGTAGGGCGAAAGCTAACCTGGTTAATTTTTTTCAAGGGACTATTATCCCCAGAAAGCGGTCCACCAATCGACTAACAACTGGATTTCTACTTACTGCTGGGTAAACAGAGGCGTGTAGAGTAAGGAAAATTGCCTAAGGTTTCACCCTGCCTGGGAATCTAATCCAGGTCCTCTCGCTTATGAGGAGAGCATGCTAACCACTACATTAGAGGACTCCACAGGATTAATGGGTGTGGCAAAAGGATATAACCATTTTGGTTCAGTAAGGGATGTACTGCAGAATAATGATGTGTATGGTGAGAACCATTTGCTCTCACCAGAATGTCACTGCAGTACCTGAGAAGGGAAGGTCTATGTGTTGCTAGAATTTGCTCTTGCAGTGGGTCTGGGGCAGTGATCCTGGCTCAGTATATGGGAATACTAAGGAAAATTACTGTACCTGCCTTGGTTGGGGCCAATAGAAGTTTATATCTAAACGCGACAAACATGTGTGGATCAGGTGGGTTATGTTGGAGGATGCATTGCAATCAATTTTAGAGAAGGGACTTTCTCCCTGTGTCCTGGTCGACAATCTCCCAAATAAAATCAGCCATTAATCTTATGGTTGTTTGTGGGATATTGCTGTGTGCAAATTGACTGACTGGTTTGCCTGCAAAATACACAGTCTCTATACTTTACAGTAAGATCTCGTGAAGCGCTTTTAGACGGCCTTCTGACGTGAAAGGCACTATATCAATTGCAAGGTTTATTATTTATTTATCAAACTGTTTCTCGAATGAGTCCATTGTCCTGGCTTCAACTACACTTCCCAGTAGATAATCTGTTTGAGATGTTAATTACCTTCTTAAAAATAAATGTTTCCTCCTAAGATTACTCTTCACAATGCTGTCCTGTCCTGACATGGGGAGAAGGGAGAATCCTCACTATTTACATACTTCTATTTGCTTAAGTTTCTGGCTGAATGAAAGACAAACATTTTATCCTCAACCTTATAATAACTGGTTCCTTACCTCTTATTGCAGCTGAAGGACAGATATCAATGACTGAAGATCCGAATGGCTCCTCTAAAGAAAGCGAAGAAGAATTTTTAAAGAAAGATACAGTTTTTCAGGTAAGCAGTTCAATAATAATAATCCTTGGATTTGATGGAGCACCTATAACGCTGAAATGTCACAAACAACAACAACAACAACAAGATTCCATTTATAAAGCGCCTTTGACGTCAGGAGGACGTCCCAAGGCGCTGTACAGTTGGGTCATGACCCGAGCAGGGGGGAAATGGTCAGGGTGAGGGGAGGGAAGGGAGGGAGCGAGGAGGGGGGAAATGGTCAGGGTGAGGGAAGGGAGGGAGCGAGGAGGGGGAAATGGTCAGGGTGAGGGAAGGGAGGGAGCGAGGAGGGGGAAGAGAGTCGAGAGGGGAGCTGAAGGCACGGTCAAAGCCCTTCATGGAGAATTGCTGTCAAGGCCTGTATGTATGTGGGCAAACAAAGTAGCACAGTAATATCCAGTCAAGTATCCGATTTATCTGGAGGATTGTTGACCATGACACCATACACTGAGGGAATCCCCCATCCCCACCTTTCTTTTATAGGAGGAATAATAGAGGAATAAAGTGGAACATTTCATTTCTTCTCTGGCTTGAAGCAGGAAAATATTAATTACAACAGAAAAGACTACAAATTAGTTTGGTTATTTAAAAAAAACGTAATTAAGTAAATACATTATAAAATTTGCCATGGCAACTAGTTTCTTGGTTTCTGCCCCCTAGCTCCTTGCTACATTTCTTGGGCTTTTGAAGCATTTACTGATTGTGTTACACTAACTCTAAATAGTCAAACAACAAAAAGAGGGATTTCCTCCAGGTTTCTTCCCCTAACCATTGGTAATACTCTTGCCTATGATATTACTCTTATTGACCCAGTTGTTCACTTCGCTCAGCAAGTACCGTCCTACTTCACATCCACCCGCCCCATCCTGCCTATCATTGGCAGGCGGGCTTTCAGCCTATCTGCCCTCACTCTCTGCAACTCCATCCCAGAGCCCCTCCAACTGGCTTCCTTCCTCACCTCCTTCAAGGTCCATCTAAGGACCTGTTTGACCCACTTTTGGTCATCTTTCCTATCCCCAACCTCTTCAGCTCACACCCCAGCCAGCACTGTTAAGTGTTATGGGGATGTCCTGATGTGAAAGGCGCTATATACATGTAAATTTGTATTGTATGGGTCACAGAAGGTTTTGTGGGTTCAAATCCTTTGTTGCAACTTGAGCTCATTGTCTCTGCAACTAACAGTCCAGTTGTATTGTTGGAGATCCAGTCTTTTGGATGAGACTTTAAGCCAAAGTCCCAGCTGCTTCAGGTGGCCTTTGAAAATCCCCAAATACTATTCAGAAAGGGAAGGGAATTTCCCCCAGGAAACAAACCTACAGATAAATTGGTTAATCACTTATTGAAAAGTAAAAATACGCAGGGCTATGGGGTAAGAGCGGGGGAGTGGGACTAGTTGGTTAGCTCTTTCAAAGACCCTGCACAGACACAATGGGCCGAATGGTCTCCTTCTGTGCTGTAAGATTCTATGATTGACTGTTTGTGGGATCCATCCTGCTGTGCAACTGGCTGCCATGTTTAATGTTTAGCTCCCACCCTATCTTCTGCAGGTAGTCATGAGATGCTGAGGGGATAACCACCAGTGGATTTATTTCCATTGAGGATAAGGGTTTCGTTGTCCAAATAATTGTATTAATCTTGTCTTGAGCTTCCCTTCATATTAATATTACACAAGCAGATGACAGGCATGAAGAAATTGAGTGTGGGTCGTGTCAGGTACTAGTTGGCTTCAGAATTAAAGCAGTAATCTCACTTTGACACACACTGCATATTGTTCAGACATTCTTGTGCATCACATCTTCACCTTAATTACAAAAAAAAATGTTCCTGTCATATTTCCTCGGGGCTCCTGCTTGCTGTCGGCTGCACTTTCAACTTCTTTGCATCTTAAAATAACCATGGCTTCTGCAGTACTTTGTGTAATTGAAAAAGAAATTGACAGAACTGTGACTAAAGAGAAGGAGCCAAAAAAAACGGACAAGAGTATTAATTCTGTGAATGATTATAGTTCTCATATATATGACTATATATAACGTGATAGATTCCGATTTTATTGGGTATTTGTCGGGGTTTCCAATTTTCTCCAAATTGAGAAAAATAAATTCCTAAACGTATTTTCTTTTTATATAATTGCAAGTTTTAAGATCTGGAAGTCGGCCATTTTGTAGGCAAAAGGTTTTGCTAAAATATGAAAAAATCATGGCAAAATAAACTTGTAGTAATAATTCTTTTAATATATAGCATAACAACCACACTATTTCCTGGATGAGAGCTAACTTTCTACAGCTGAATGGCAGCGAGTCCGAGGCTGTCCTGATTGACTCGGGCTAGTGCCTCTGCACCTCAGGCACTGGTAGCATTGGCATCCATGGTTGCACACTTCACCTCACTAAGCCAGTCAGGAACCATTCGACCCTCAATTGTCCTTTTGCCCTGTATCCATGCCACGACCCACTCTGCCTTTCCCCACCTCCGCAACATTACCCGACTCCGCCACTGCCTCACCCCTCAGACCGCTGAAACCCTCATGCACGCATTCGTCACCTCAAGGCTCGACTATAGAAGCTCCCTCCTTGTCGGCCTCCCCAACTCTTCCCTCCACAAGCTGCAGATCATCCAGAACTCTGCAGCTCATGTCCTCACCCGATTGGGGGTGTGGGGCTTGTGACGGGAGTAATAGGAGAGGAAGGAGAAGAAGGAGATTTCAGCAAGGAAGATCGACCGAGCAGGAATCAGCACTTGAGCTCATACTCCAGGTTGTTTGTCCAGTGCAGTACTGAGGGAGCACCGCATTGTCTTCTGATGGGAAGTTAAACCCAGGTCTCCCTGATACAGATATATTACTCATTTGCTTTGTGGTTGTTTGTGGCTGTCATATTTGCCTACAAAATAAAGCATTCACGATACTCGCCATTAATTACTGGAAAGTGTGGTAACAATACAAGTTCATTCCCTCCACAAGTTTCCCTGTTAATGGTGATTTTCTGCCCTTGCCAGGTTCCCCAAGGGAAGTACCAGGGAGGTTTTGTTTTGAACAGCCGAGTGCCTGACACATGCGGAAAGCCTTCACCATGCTTAAATGTATCCGAAGCAGACTTGCGAATTACACATGTGTATGCCCCTACATGTGGACATTTCCCTGTGTTAGGAATGGAATGCTTTTCTCTCCCTGGAATTCATTAGCAAGGAACGGTCAATGGATGGAAGGAGGAGGATTGATTGTTCAACTGGATGGTGCATAAAATGATTATCCTCCTTGGAGGGGAGGTAAGCAGGGTGTCCTTGAAACTGAACTGGCTCTAAGGTGACATGTTTGGCAACGGAATGTCAGAATCTAGCCAGCCCTCTGTGGCGGTCTCTAGTCCGATTCCTGAGCCAGGCGGGTGTGCAGTATTACAGAGCACTGCTGATGACAGCACAGCGGGTCTGGATCATTGGCAGGAGTTGGAAGGGCAGACCAGTCACTGATGGCAGGGAGTCGTCCCATTCAGCTCCTGCAAGCCAAATCCCTAGGGTAGGGTGATTCTAGCCGGATAAGCAGCTGGTGGGGTGGTGGGGGGGCAGTGCACAATATAAAACATTTCCTTATTCTCTCTCATTCCTTTGCTTAGCTTTCTCTTCCACCCTTCCTCTGCCCAGCTTCTGCCCTCATCCCAATGCCCTAGACTTGTCCAGATGAGGAACTGACCAGGTGAGGTCACGGGCCCACGTCCCAGCACCAAGGTGCCCGAGGACAATGGGTAAAAAGAAATGGCGAATGCAACATTGAGTTACGAAGACTGATCCCATTGAAAGGTGATGATCAGCTTGACTACCCAGATAGCACCTCTGTGGTAGAAGACGTCATTATGATATTATGCTCTTATCTGCAGGATTTAAAATTGCCAAAAGATGACTCCGGTGTGAGAGAACATTCCAGAATGTGTCCCGATGAACTCGGCGAGAGAGTGCTTCTTCAGAATGAGATCAAGTTGGTATATTACACCACCATTCCCTACCCTGCTGCCCCCAACATTGGCGCTCCATCCCACAGACCTTTCTCCTTGCCCCCTCCCTTGCCTCCTTCAAGGCCCACCTCAGGATGTTCCTCTTCGACCGCGCCTTCGGTCATCCTCCTAACCCCAACCTCCCCGCCCTCCACCCTTCCTGATCCCAACCCCTAGTTGTGCAAATCCTTAACTGTCCAGCACCTTGGGACATCCTCCCAACGTGAAAGGAGTTATTGTTGTTATCATTGAAACGCGGGAATGTTGAGAAAGCATTGAAATTCCAGGACAAGTTTGGTTAAAGTCGGGTTGGTATTGATGGCTTTTTAAATACACGAGAGGCCATGTCGAGCAACTTCAGTTCGATTCAAAATCAATTACACGGCAAGAAATCTGGGAGCAGTTTAGCGAATTGATTGACCTGTGAGTGTTTCCTAAGCTGGGAGGCCTCTCTGTTTGTTGGCTTTCCAGCTGCTGGTACACTGGTTGTTTTTATTGTTTTTGTTTAACAAAAAAGTCGCTCATTTTTGGCGTGCGGTCGCTCGCCCCTGTGACTAGGCATTTGCAGTAATTGTGATGCCTCTGTGGGATAGCTGAGGGTTGATACATAGAATTATGATTCATTTCGCAACCTCTTTCCCTGCAGGAGGATGTAATTTCCTGTAGGCTGATATCACTTTAGCCGAGCTATGTGACTGACAGCCCTACTGCTAGTTAGTTGTACAAGGAGAGAAGCGGTACTGGTTGTGCTGCGAGTATTGTACTGTCGTTAGCTAGGTTTTCTACAGTCTTTATTTTCACGCGAAAGGATGGTTGAAACCAATGAAAGATCCGGTGAGGAGTATTTCAGCCCCACCGCAGTTGTCTTCAAGTACATTCTCAACGAATGAATAATTTGCAGACAAATTTGTACAGAATTCTGGCACTGTTAAATGCAGGAGCCCTGAGGTCACTGCTGAAAACAGGTCTGCCTCTCTTGTGTTGAGCTGCCGGCAATATTCATTACCCGCCCCGCTTTGTAAAGAAAAATCAAATTGCCTTTTTCATTAATCTGGCAAGAATTACTGTTCAAAATTGGTAGTTATGAAAGCAGGGCACTTTGAGTGCAGGAAGGCTAATAAGACATTATGGATGACCTCTGTCTGGTCGTATGTCTTTAGAGGTTCCCTTAGTATGCACAAAATTTGCGGTTTATTAAAGCGACTAATTTCTGATGTTGGTTAAAGCTGCTGCCTTAGACACTTGCTATGAAATGTGCTAGATTAATGTTGAGCTCTCTGAGACTTTTTACATCCTGTGGAAAAACATAGCAAGTTCAAATAAGTATTCAGGACGTGAGTTTGATTGATATAAGCTTGTTTTGTGTTCGAGCTTTGCTTTCCCCTGGCAGCACTCTGCATTTTGTTCGATTATGGCCATTTGTGTTCAGATCATATTTGTCTTGGAATTCATTCATGAAAAATTGCCTGTGTTCTAAAAAATATTTTTAAATATTCTGTATAAAGTGTCTAGAATCTTTATTCTGTGTTTTTGTTTAAAGTAGGACAGACACGTTTTAACAGAACAGCTTAGATTACTGTGGGTTTATCCAACTGTGAAAAATCCCAGTAATTAGACTTCAGGAGTGACTTTTTTCACATCTGAAGAAGACTATGCTGGCAATGCTTGGGACTTTGTAAGGTGTGTGCATACACTCATGCCTGTATTATGCTTGCACAGTTCCCTGCTGTTTCAACCAGTCTATATTGAATGGCAGATGCCTGCTGTAAATGTTCACAATGCAGTTCCTGAATGTTTCCTGTGCATCTAGTGTGGATAGGCTGTTTGGTCTCTGAGACAGTTAACTTTGTATTGGATTGTGTGAAGGGATTAAAATCGATAGGAAACCCAGCGATTGGGTTTTGAATGGGACTGGCTGCGAGGCAGAAATAATTTCATTCAGGGCTCAGGTCACAAACTCTCACAAATCTGCAAATGCAAAAAAAAACACCCGTTCCCTGAAAAAGCTTTGTTTCCGGATCGAATTGAGAGGAGAGAGAGTGGGCGGAGAGGAGGAAGGAGGAAATGGAGCTGCCGAGTGCCGGTGGCATGCAAATGACATCAGAATCCCAGACCAAGGAGCCGCAGGAACTTCACTCTTCATTAAACACGCAGCAATGGCCCCATTCACCCACGGCCTTTTCATTCAAATCCATTCCAGTTGGAGCAAAGCACAGATCCGACCCCTGCATAAAGGAGATGCAAATGAAATCTGTTCATTCACACAGCCAGAAAATTACTAACTCGGCATAACAGCTGTTTCTCTCTCTCTCTTTCTCTGTTTACATTTCCTCTGTGTGTGACTCAGAATTCTATTGGGTAAACCGCTGACTCTGTGGAGCTAATCTAGTCGAATACATTTGGTGCTGATTTTCCCCCGGGTGTAACATTTTTTGTGACAGTTGCGTTGTGCACACTTGTGTCTGAGCAGAGTTCATAGCTGCCAGACCAACCGAGGAGATTCAGGAGCTGTAGGAACGGGGGTGCCCTGGTAACAACTCCTACAAAGCCTCCTGCATGACATGTGCATGTGTTTGGCACAACTCAGCTGAATGGCTTGCATGCTGTGCATGTGTAAGTGATTCATCAGAATTCAGTTCACTCCCATGTAAACATTTGCCCACCACAGTAACCTTGTAAACAGCCAAATGTTGCAAACAGTATTCATTTCAGTTCATTCGGATCATTAAATTTGAAGGTAATTCTCTGGATAGTCTGAGCTGGAGAAGTATTGGTTCGGGTACAGTGTGAGGTGATTTGTGGGAAATATGCATCCTCTCGTGGACATGAGTTAAGACGCAATCGTGCAAAGTTGGTGAGTCAGTTTGGCTCATTTGGTTAACACATTCACCATTCAGGTCAGATGGTTGTGGGTTCAAGCCCCATCCCAGGACTTGAGCTGATAAACCAGGTTGACAGTGGAGCGTTCCATTGTGCTGCTCCAAATGAGTTATCAAACCAAGGTCCTGTCTGCCTGGTCAAGTGGATATTAATGATTCAATATCACCAATGGCATTGGTGAAGTCAGCAAAGAGCAGGGAGTTTGCTCAGTGTTCCAGCCAGCATTGCTCTCCTGTCAAAATTCAGCCACTATGCCCCAAAACTCTGGAACACTCTTCCTCTATTGCTCCGCCTTGCCCCTTCCTTCCCCATCTTCAGGTTGTGCCTGAAGACCTTCCTCTTCGACCATGCCTACGGTCACCCACCCTTCCACCCCCGGCTTGGTGTCATGCTCCACCACTGTCAAGCTCTCTGGGGCGCTACCCTGCTTGAGGGGCACTATACAAGGGCAAGTTGTTGTTGTTGATTCTCAGTGATTAATTTTATTTATTGCTGTTGGTGGGATGTACTCCTGCAGATTAGCTACTGTGTTTGCCTACATATTGCACAGTTACTTGAAGTAACTGTTTCCACAAATTGCTTTGAGAAGTTTCAGCAAAAGGCGTCATGGCAGCTGGGAGTATTTAATTATTGAGCAGGGCCTCCGCTTGTTTTGTTTCCTCCCAAAACACAGTGCATTAAAAGTGGAAAGTAAATAATTTGGACTGCACTAAGCTGGGGGCGAGGGGGCAGTGTTCCAATTCACAGTGCTGTCCAGTAGGTATCAGACTATGCAATACTGTGTTACTTTGTCTTTAGAGTAGATGATTCAAGTTCAACATAATGGTTTCCTTCAGACGAGACATTAAAACAAAGAAGTCCCTTTTGGCTGTTCAGGTGGACATTAAAGATCCTACGGCACTATTTGAAAAGAAAAGAGAGTTTCTCCCGGTGAGCTGGCTAACATTTCCACAGATAAATTTAGCCATTCACTTCAAGGCCGTGTGTGGATCATAGCTGTGTGCAAATTGGGTGCCGCGTTTGCCTACAAAATCCAGTCATTTCACCTTGTAGAAGATCCTGTGAAGCGGTTTGAGACCTTTCGATAACATGTTAAGGCATTATATCAAATGTGAGCTTTATTATTGTTATTCTACCAGTGAAACTGTGCTGCAGTGTAAATGAGTTGATTTTGTGTGCAGGAGAGAAAAATGTCAATGGAAGCCTGCAAGCTGCTTTTACCTTCGGCAGTTAAAGAGAGGGGAGGAACAGGACAAGTCTTTAAGATCTGTATGTGTGTTTCATTTGATTTTCTCCTATCTCAAAATCCCACAGCCTCCCTTTGCTGGGCAGCTTCCCCACCCAGGACTTGCTCCCACTCCTTGCCATACTGTACTTTTATTTTGTGCTATTTCTCTCTTTATTTTGTGCTACTTCTTGAAGGGCTCCCTTATGCCCCGTTGTAGCTGATTTCTAACAGGTGTTAAATAGCCACCCAAGACGAATGCCTCTCCACCCTGGGAAGGTGTCTGACCTGTGCTTGGTGTCAGCCCATAGCAGCCATGTTGAGACTAGGAACTTGCACCTGTTCTCTGCCTCCTTACGCTCTCCTTACACCGTGCCTCTGCCTTGTGTTCAGTAATTTACATTAAAACTTACACTTTCCTTTTGTTTAAAAATCTAAACAGTTTAAAATAGTAGGGGGTGACACAACGGAAGTCAAGCTGAGGATGACATATTTGTGACAATTTTAGGGCCAACACCGGGGTCTGTTTCATTACACAGAGGATAATCAACAGCTGGACAGGTTACCAGGAAGAGTAGTGTGAACCCTGGGGCATTAGACTCATTTAAGAATCAGTTTAATGGGAAGCAGGTGAAGTGGATATTCTGGAAGATAAAGGGCCTGCTAAGGATAAGATATTAAGCCAAGGTCCTTCCTGTCTGTTCAAGTGGATGTTAAAGATCCCATGGAAAAGAGAAGGCATTTTATCGTGGTGTGCTGGCCAAGATTCCCCTCAAATAAATAAAATAGGTCATTCACTTTGTGGCTGTTTGTGGGGCATCGCTGTGCGCAATTGGGCTGCCACATTCACCAACAAATACACTTTGCTTCACAGCAATG